CTCCATGCAAAATACTAATACTGAAATGACTACTAGTCATGATAATAAATTTCAAAATACGCACCGATACATACACACTGTTTACCCATGCAAACATCCTCACCCCCCTCCTAATGAAGGCAAACTTTCCAAAAGAAATAGAACAGGGAAAGAATTTAATCCATCCACCTTGGCACTTATGTACAGCTCTGAACAACCCTATGTTAACGTAGTAATGACTACAGTCGTAGAATCTCAGTCACATTTCGTCTTCCCTTGTCCCCCGTTAATGTTCGAAGATGTGATCAATAGCAAAGTCCAGAAATGACTTAGGTAACCACTCCTACACTGCGGTCATAGTGATATCCAGTAGTAATATACATATAGGCATCAGGAGACAGGAGAGGAATGATGATACACTAGGTAGCAAGATGAGTGTTGCCCTCTGTAAGGTGTACACATGGAATCCATTTTCTAGCAAGAGTTAGGAGGTTCTTTCCTGATTCCGTGTTATAAGCACCGACTAGGAAGAGGGTGAGCACTTGTGGGGAGAGTGCTTAGACATTTCTAAACTTTTCTCTTCTTGAAGTTGACGGATCTTGGTGGAGAATGAGACTCTGCAACCTTGGCCTTGATACTATCATGGCAAACTAACTGGATATTGTCCTAAACTAGAAATGAATCTATCCTCAGGACCACAGTGAGTCTGCCATTGGACTCTCGACTTTTAGACAGTTAAGAAAAGGAAGAATGAAGCAATTGTGAGAGTAGCTTTCTTCCAGGGAGCACGCATACCCCGAGTGAGAAGACCTACTTCTTTCCTAATATGTGTGCCAGAGCCCACCTGTTTGTGTTTTGATTGTTTCAGGCCTTTTCTTGCTAGAATTAAGAGCTAGCAGTGTGCCTAAAACAAGCAACATGGGTATGTGTATTTCTGTCCAAGAAGCTAATAGGATTTAGGATGGTCTATAGCCAGACGCTGTCAGTTTGTGGTACTTTGCAAAAAAAGCACACATACAAAATAAGTTCCAGATGATACAAGGGAGCTTTATCTTCATTTCCACCACAGGCTAAGCTCTGCTTTTATGCCTCTAAGTTTTAGCGGGAGAAAATCCAAGCACCTGCTCCTGCGTGTGCAAGTCAATGGAGAGTCAGAGCCGAGCTCCGTGTGGGTCCCAGTTTGGGTATCTGTGAAGGAAGTGGGGGCTGAACTGAATTTTTTAACTACATATTTTCTCTAGAATATTTCCAATGCATATTTTTCTATAATATATACACATATTTTTTTTTATCTCCCTAAGGACTTTCTGAGAAATATCCAAGGAAGTATATTTTTATCTGATCTCTATGACAAATGGCTCGGTGTTATTGATCAAGGCAACAAAGAGGAGATGATAACGGCAGCCCGGAGGTAACGATGCATAATTACTCTACTCTGGTCACATCTCCAAATAATACCCAACATACTATGAGGAAAACATTGGCTTACATTTTGCAGCTTTGCCCACTATAATCATGACCAACGCCAAAGAGTTTCAATTCTTCACGCCCATGGGGGCCAGCTCAGAATAGAGGCACACTTTAGGGCTATTATTGTTCTTCTCCTGATCTTATTAATGTGGACACCTTGGCCGTTTTACACCTTCTGGATCCATGAAACTGGTAGACAAAATTCCCTGGTCCAGGACAGATCAAGAGCAACAACTGCCAGGGCTATGACCTTAAAAGTCTGTCAGACATTTAACCAACCAGGCAAGTGTGTATCTGGCTCAGGAACTGAATTCAGTGCAACAATTTTGTATACATCCATGCCTGGAACGCTGCTAGAGCGGGTTGTGTGCTAGATATACAAGGATGTATCCTGTTCCCTGTCTCTGTTTTTCCAACCTCCTAAGTGGAATCACTTGCCTAATTTAAAAGTGTGTTTTTCTGACCTTAGGCTTTTAGCCCAGCTGCCAAGAGCAAATGTTGTTCTCTTGCGATACCTTTTTGGAGTGCTATACAACATTGAGCAACATTCGTCATCCAATCAGATGAAAGCTTATAATTTATCCGTTTGTATAGCCCCATGCGTTCTTTACCCACCTGATTCCGAAAGCTTGGAATTGGAAGACAACATGATAAAAAAGGTAATGAGAGGTCTCATTCTTGTCCCCCAGAGGGTAGAATCCCTTCTTTGAACCGGACATGTGCAGTAGTAACTCTGACGGATGGAACTTTGTGAACTGCACATTTTCATTAGGCCCCTGTGGAATGGCAGAGTTCTTTATGCTACTCTGGCGGGGTCTGGAAAGGGGTGTCGTTAAACGGGAAACTCAGAGTGGTCGAGTCACTTCTTCTCTCTCCAGGAGACTAAACCTAGACTGACTAAAAAAGAGATAGAAGAGTCGTGTGATACGATAGAAAAAACCTGGGCTTTGGAGCTTCACCAGTCAAGGTTCAACTCTCAGCCTAATCCCTGAGGGACTCGTAACCTTGGGCAAAGCCATGGTTTCCTCACTGCACAATGGCGACAACAGCCAGCTCCTCTGGTCATCACTGGCACATCCTGGGTGGCTTGGGCAATATGAGCCCCCATGCCTCCAAACACATTGGCCTTCCTCTGCCAATTGTGGCTCATCTAGAAAAGTACTCGGCTACTATTTCACCTCTGCTACATCATACGGAAACTAGGAAGAGATTCCAGAATATCCTAATAAGATGACAGGTCTTCCCCAAGCTCACCAAGAGAGCCAGCATGAGGCAAAGCAATGCGTGAGAATGGACTGAAGTTAGACAGACAGATACATTTTCTCTGCAGCTGTGTGGGTTTTCCCTCACAACCGCACCAAAATCCCTGCTTCCCAACTTTAAGATACTTCTTCATTTAAGAAATGGTTTTAAGTTTTTGTTCATACTTCATTAAGTTTCATAAGATGTTATACATCAGTTACAGCTCAATAAAACTGGAAACAAAATTTAAAAGCAAAAAATAAGTAAACTTTAATAAGGTAGGCTACTTTGAAAATTATCCTAGTTTTATTTATTTTTTGATATGTATTTATTTAAGAGATGGAAAGAGAGAGGATGAGTGGGGCAGGGGCAGAGGAAGAGGGAGAGGGAGAAGCCTAAGCCGATTCCCCGCTGAACACGGAGCCCAAAGTTAGCTCCATGTGCGGCTGGATCTCACCACCATGACATCGTGATCTGCGCCGAAATCAAGAGTCAGACGCCCAACTGAGGGGCCCAGAAATTTATCCTAGGCTTAAAGATGTAACCACTGATCCCAAAATGTTAGCTCTTAAACTAGGCCACGCATTATAACTTTAGCCCACTGATGAGCAGTATTTTAAAATGTGTATCCAAAGTACACGGGAAAGTATCACTCTTTCTAAGTTATTTCAGAGAGAACTCTGGTTTCTATGTGTTTTTGGGTTTTTTTGTTTTTTCCTTAAACTTTTATTTATTTACTTGACTGAGAGAGACACAGCGAGAGACGGAACACAAGCAGGGGGAGTGGGAGATGGAGAAGCAGGCTTCATGCTGAGCAGGGAGCCTGATGTAGGGCTGATCCCAGCACCCTGGGATTATGACCTGAGCCGAACGCAGACGCTTAACCAACTGAGCCACCCAGGCGCCCCTGGTTTCTACATATTTTTATCAACTCTGAATTTTTCTGAGAAGTCCTTCCCATTTTTTCTTAGATCCAAGGTCTGTATAGAAAATGTGATTTATAACTATGCCCTATGGAAAAGAGCACCCCATTCTTGTCTTTTTGTGTTACAGATTTGTCTTGTACAATTTCTCATTGAAAATTGCCTCAGGATATTTGGAGAGGACATCACTTCCCTCTTGGGCGAGAACTCAATGAGTCGTGGTAACAGCGAGAAGGCTGCAGGTACCGGGAGTAATTTAATTGGGTTTAGTGAGAAGCAGACAGCAAGGTTACCAGGGGTCATGGGAGATGCTTAGACAGAACTGTTCTGGAGCCCAGAGCATCGCCAGGGCAAGGATTTCCATGGGCTCCTTCTTCCGAAGGCTGGCTCACAGGTCAAGGGAGGTTCCACACTGTTGTGAGACCAAAGAAAGGATAAGATGAGGTGTCTGACTTCAAGAAGTTTCTAGTGTAGATCATAAGGGCATTAGGACTCATCATGGTATGCTATAGTGTTTGGGAATTTTTTCTAACAAAATTTTAAATGGGTGCTATATATCTATATATATATATACAACACCATACATATATATGTAGTTATATATATATATATAATATATAATTAGATACTTATACTATATAAATATAACAATAATATATATATTTATGTATATTAGATGTGCTCTGGTTGAAGCCAGAGCAAGGGGCCTTTCTTCCCCTCCCTCCTCTTTTGGCTCAGGGGCTCTTGAGGCACCACAGGATTCCAGTGCCCTTTGAAACAGGTTGAAAAGAACTGGCATCATTGAGAAAAAAGGACTTGACTTGATGTCAAAAAACCTCTCCAGAGTGTAAATTCCTGTGCCCCCATTTACCAGCTATATTACCTTTGATCAGTTTTTCTAGCTCAGCATCAGTTTATTGATCTCTAAAATGTAGACAAAATAATGTCTAAATCTTAGAATTGTGGTAAAGACTAAATAAGATGATGGATGGAATCCACAAAAAGCCATTAATAGGACTAGGAGAAGTGCCCCTGAGACTAGAGCTAGTACGATTTGAGCCTAGCTAATCACAGCTACCTGGCAGCAGTCCACCTTAGAAGGTAGACTTTCGATTCAGAACCTGGAGACACGTATCATCAATCCCTCCATATTTCTGACATTTCTTGGTTTTATGATGCTTACCACATTGCTTTGAGGAAATCTTTAGGAAAATACAAGTCATCAGGAATTAAGATGAGTCTGGGGCGCCTGGGTGGCTCAGTCATTAAGCGTCTGCCTTCAGCTCAGGTCATGATCCCGGGGTCCTGGGATCGAGCCCCGCATCGGGCTCCCTGCTCCGAGGGAAGCCTGCTTCTCCCTCTGCCCCTCCCCCTGTTTGTGTTCCCTCTCTCGCTGTCTCTCTCCCTCTGTCAAAATATAAATAAAATGTGTAAAAAAAAAAAAAAAGGAAAAAGAAGGTTCAGCGTATTAAACAACAACAACTACTACTACTAGTACTCTCTCTTCTTCCTTAGACTCCGGTCGGAAGACTGTGAAAAGCCATTTTTTCAGAGACAGGGCCTTTTGGTGGGGCTCCGGCACTTCCCAGCACACCCAGTGCACAGCCCCACCTTCCGCAAAGCCAGGACAGCTCTTTGGAGTTTCCCTCATGGATGTGTGTGATAAAGACAACTTGCCCTTCCCAATTCTGGTAGGTCATCTCCTTTTGGTCTTCTACAGCCCTCCTGAGGAGGGGAAACTCTGAGAGGCCACGTGTCCTCATCCAAATCTATCCCCAAATGGAGAAGTCATTAGACAGCCCTTGGCTTTGGCTGAGAAGCTCTGTTACCGTTATTTCAAGGAACAGAATCTGACTTACGTCCAGCAGAGTCGTGAGGCTAATACAACAGGAAAAGACTTTATTATCCATTCCACATGGGTCTTGTTTCCACAAAGACCCACCGAAGCCTGTTCAGATCAGTCAAAAAGGACTCTGTGTATGTGAGTCTCTGAGAGTCCACCTCATCTTCACACTCTCCCTTCATTGCCTTCCTGCACTCACATGAGTCTCAAGTCTCCTTCAGTGGAGTCTACTCAGTCTAACAACTGCAAACATCTGACATGAGCATGGACTCATCCTCTGGCAAATAGGAATCTGTTAATCCTAACAGAATATGTCAAATGAAAGCCACAGAGTTTGGCCTGTGTTATCTCAAACTGCTCTAGTGAATTGTCAGTGTGGACCTTCACTGAGTATTCGGTGTCTCTGCAAGCACTGTACGGGATGTAGGGAACGTTCTCCTAGCTATGAAGAAATGTATCATATTAGCTACTTTGTTACCTGCTAGCTACTACCCCAGGTCCATGCATCACAGCAAATTTAGGAGCTAGCTAGGATTATCATCCTCCACACTTCCTAACCGATTCAGAAAAGCCTCAGTACAGGATGTATGTGCCCCAGCTCACACAATAGATAAGTAGCATAATAGACTTCAGATCCATTTTATTCCCTGAGTCCAGCCCTTATTAAGACTCTACACAGCAGAGAGAGGACATGAAGATAGAGCAAAAGAGAATTTAAGACTCATGAGAAGGGAGGGTAATCAGAGAAAGAGAAGAGAGTTTCTGGGCCTGACTTTAAAAGAGGGAAGGAAATAGAACAAGTAGGAAAGGAGTATAGAGTCACTTAAAGAAAAATAAACAAATGGGAAATGAGTATTCGCTAAATAGACTTCCATATTTGGGGAAGAGCCTCTACATAAGGGAATAATGAGAAAAGAATGGTAAAGTAGGAAACAGATGGTGATTCCGCAAAGGCCTTGAAGCATAGAAGTTTGATTTAAGAGTGGAAACTCAATGGAAAGGAAAATCTGATTAAAAGAACTGTTTAAATTGTTTCAGTGTATGACTGTCAAATGGATATTTGGGTAGAAAGTATATAGAGAGACACTGAAAAAAAAACAATCTAAATCGACTTTGGTCCTTCCTGCTCTAAAACAGTGTACCAGTACATTCCCCTCCTCTTTCAAAACGGAGGCAAGCTTGTGCTCTGCGTTTGTGGATATGAGATGCCATATACTTTTCTTTTCTTCCTACAGGGTATGCTTTCCTTTATTAATGAAAAAGGGCCCCTCACAGAAGGCATATTCAGAAACTCAGCCAATATAAAATCCTGCCATGTCCTAAAGGAAAAACTGAATTCTGGGGTCAAAGTGAACCCATACAGCGAATCTGTTCATGTGGTCGCATCCGTCTTAAAGGTAGGGAAGGTTCTAGCAGTATCTACACACGAGTAACTGAAGCTATGACTGGTGTCCTTCATCAAGACTGCTCAAGAACAATAATGGGCATAATAGATTAAGAACCTGACAAGCTGAAAAACGCTTAACAAAATCAAAATTTAAGGAAGCGACTTTAGGAGTTAAAAGCCACATGTGTTAGAAATACTTTCTCTTTTCACTACACACCGCCCTCCCCACCTTCACTCCTAAAGACTCCATGCAAAATACTAATACTGAAATGACTATTAGTCATGATAATAAATTTCAAAATACGCACCGATACATACACAGTTTACCCATGAAAACATCCTCACCACCCTCCTAATGAAGGCAAACTTTCCAAAAGAAATACAACAGGGAAAGAATTTAATCCATCCACCTTGGCACTTATGAACAGCTCTGAACAACCCTATGTTAACATAGTAATTACTACAGTCATAGAATGTCAGTCGCATATGGTCTTCCCTTGTCCCCCGTTAATGTTCGAAGATGTGATCAATAGCAAGGTCCAGAAATGACTTAGGTAACCACTCCTACACTGGGGCCATAGTGATATCCAGTAGTAATATACATACAGGCATCAGGAGACAGGAGAAGAATCATGCTACACTAGGTAGCAAGATGAGTGTTGCCCTCTGTAAGGTGCACACATGGAATCCATTTTCTAGCAAGAGTTAGGAGGTTCTTTCCTGATTCCGTGTTATAAGCACTGACTAGGGAGAGGGTGAGCACTTGTGGGGAGAGTGCTTAGACATTTCTAAAGTTTTCTCTTCCTGAAGTTGATCGATCTTGGTGGAGAATCAGACTCTGCAACCTTGGCCTTGATAATATCATGGCAAACTAACTGGGCAATTGGCCTAAACTAGAAATGAATCTATCCTCAGGACCACAGTGAGTCTGCCATTAGACTCTCGACTTTTAGACAGTTAAGAAAAGGAAGAATGAAGCAATTGTGCGAGTAGCTTTCTTCCAGGGAGCACACATACCCAGAGTGAGAAGACCTAGTTCTTTCCTAATATGTGTGCAAGAGCCCACCTGTTTGTGTTTTGATTGTTTCAGGCCTTTTCTTGCCAGAGTTAAGAGCTAGCACCTTGTCTAAAACAAGCAACATGGGTATGTGTATTTCTGTCCAGGAAGCTAATAGGATTTAGGATGGTCTATAGCCAGACCCTGTCAGTTTGTGGTACTTTACAAAAAAAAAAGCACTCACACAAAATAAGTTCCAGATGATAGAAGGGAGCTTTATCTTCATTTCCACCACAGGCTAAGCTCTGCTTTTATGCCTCTAAGTTTTAGCGGGAGAAAATCCAAGCACCTGCTCCTGCGTGTGCAAGTCAATGGAGAGTCAGAGCCGAGCTCCGTGTGGGTCCCAGTTTGGGTATCTGTGAAGGAAGTGGGGGCTGAACTGAATTTTTTAACTACATATTTTCTCTGGAATATTTCCAATACATAGTTTCTATAGTTTATATTTATGTATAGATATATATATATATATTTTTTTTTTTTTTATCTCCCTAAGGATTTTCTTAGAAATATCCACGGAAGTATATTTTTATCTGACCTCTATGACAAATGGCTCGGTGTTATTGATCAAGGCAACAAAGAGGAGAAGATAACTGCAGCCCAGAGGTAATGATGCCATAATTACTCTACTCTGGTCACATCTCCAAAATACACCCAACATACTATTAGGAAAACATTGGCTTACATTTTGCAGCTTTGCCCACTATAATCATGACCAACGCCAAAGAGTTTCAATTCTTCACACCCATGGGGCCCAACTTCAGAATAGAGGCACGCTTTAGGACTATTATTGTTCTTCTCCTGATCTTATTAATCTGGACTCCTTGGCCATTTGACACCTTCTGGATCCTTGAAACTGGTAGACAAAATTCCCTGGTTCAAGACACATGCAAGAGCATCAACTGCCAGGGCTATGACCTTAAAAGTCTGTCAAACATTTAACTAACCAGAGAAGTGTTTATCTGGCTCAGGGACTGAATTCAGTGCAACAATTTTGTCTACATTCATGCCTGGAACTCTGCTAGAGCGGGTTGTGTGCTAGATATACAAGGATGTATTCTGTTCCCTGTCTCTGTTTTTCCAACCTCCTAAGTGGAATCACTTGCCTAATTTAAAAGTGTGTTTTTCTGACCTTAGGCTTTTAGCCCAGCTGCCAAGAGCAAATGTTGTTCTCTTGCGATACCTTTTTGGAGTGCTATACAACATTGAGCAACATTCGTCATCCAATCAGATGACAGCTTATAATTTATCCGTTTGTATAGCCCCAAGCGTTCTTTACCCACCTGATTTCGACACCTTGGAATTGGAAGACAACTTGATAAAAAAGGTAATGAAAGCTCTCATTTTTGTCCCCCGGGGGTAGAATCCCTACTTTGAACCGGACATGTGCAGTAGTAACTCTGACGGATGGAACTTTGTGAAGTGCACATTTTCATTAGGCCCCTGTGGAGTGGCAGAGTTCTTTATGCTACTCTGGCGGGGTCTGGGAAGGGGTGTCGTTAAACGGGAAACTCGGAGCAGTCGAGTCACTTCTTCCCCCTTCGGGAGACTAAACACTAGACTGACTAAAGGAGAGAGAGAAGAGTCATGTGATACGATAGAAAAGAACCTGGGCTTTGGAGCTTCACCAGTCAAGGTTCAACTCTCAGCCTAATCCCTGAGGGAGTCGTAACCTTGGGCAAAGCCATGGTTTCCTCACTACACAATGGCGACAACAGCCAGCTCCTCTGGTCATCACTGGCACATCCTGGGTGGCTTGGGCAATATGAGCCCCCATGCCTCCAAACACATTGGCCTTCCTCTGCCAATTGTGGCTCATCTAGAAAAGTACTCGGCTACTATTTCACCTCTGCTACGTCATATGGAAACTAGCAAGAGATTCCAGAATATCCTAATAAGATGACAGGTCTTCCCCAAGCTCACCCAGAGAGAGCGAGCATGAGGCAAAGCAATGCGTGAGAAGGGACTGAAGTTAGACAGACAGATACGTTTTCTCTCCTGCTGTGTGGGTTTTCCCTCACAACCCCACCAAAATCCCTGCTTCCCAACTTTATGATACTTCTTCATTTAAGAAATGGTTTTCTTAAGTTGTCATTCATACTTTATAAAGTTTCATAAGATGGTATACATCAGTTACAGCTCAGTAAAACTGAAAACAAAATTTAAAAGCAAAAAATAAGTAAACTTTAATAAGGTAGGCTACTTTGAAAATTATCCTTGTTTTATTTATTTTTTGATATGTATTTATTTGAGAGAGGGAAAGAGAGAGCGTGAGCGGGGCAGGGGCAGAAGAAGAGGGAGAGGGAGAGGGAGAAGCCCAAGCCCATTCCCCGCTGAGCACGGAGCCCAAAGTTGGCTCCATGTGGGGCTGCATCGCACCACCGTGAGATCGTGATCTGCGCCACAATCAAGAGTCAGACGCCCAACTGAGGGGCCCCGAAATTTATCCTAGGCTTAAAGACATAACCACTGATCCCAAAATGTTAGCTCTTAAACTAGGCCACGCATTATAACTTTAGCCCACGGATGGGCAGTATTTTAAAATGTGTACCCAAAGTACACAGGAAAGTATCACTCTTTCTAAGTTATTTCTGAGAGAACTCTGGTTTCTATGTGTTTCTGTTTCTTTGTGTTTTTTTTAAACTTTTATTTATTTACTTGACTGAGAGAGTCACAGCGAGAGAGGGAACACAAGCAGGGGGAGTGGGAGAGGGAGAAGCAGGCTTCCCGCTGAGCAGGGAGCCCGATGTAGGGCTGATCCCAGCACCCTGGGATTATGACCTGAGCCGAACGCAGACGCTTAACCGACTGAGCCACCCAGGCGCCCCTGGTTTCTATGTATTTTTATCAACTCTGAATTTTTCTGAGAAGTCCTTCCCATTTTTTCTTAGATCCAAGGTCTGTATACAAAATGTGATTTATAACTATGCCCTATGGAAAAGAGCACCCCATTCTTGTCTTTTTGTGTTACAGATTTGTCTTGTACAATTTCTCATTGAAAATTGCCTCAGGATATTTGGAGAAGACATCACTTCCCTCTTGGGCGAGAACTCAATGAGTCGTGGTAACAGCGAGAAGGCTGCAGGTACCGGGAGTAATTTAATTGGCTTTAGTGAGAAGCAGACAGCAATGTTTCCAGGGGTCATGGGAGATGTTCTGGAGCCCAGAGCATCACCAGGGCAAGGATTTCCATGTGCTCCTTCTTCCGAAGGCTGGCTCACTGATCGGGGGAGGTTCCACACTGTTGTGAGACCAAAGAAAGGACAAGATGAGATGTCTGACTTAAAGAAGTTTCTAGTGTAGATCATAAGGGCATTAGGACACTTCATGGTATGCTACAGTGTTTGGGAATTTTTTCTAACAAAATTCTAAATGGGTTCTCTCTCTCTCTCTCTATATATACACATATATATATATAACATCATATATATGTAGTTATATATATATAATATATAATTAGATACTTATTCTATATAAATATATAATCATAATATATATATTTATGTATATTAGATGTGCTCTGGTTGAAGCCAGAGCAAGGGGCCTTTCTTCCCCTCCCTCCTCTTTTGGCTCAGGGGCTCTTGAGGCACCACAGGAATCCAGTGCCCTTTGAAACGGGTTGAAAAGAACTGGCATCATTGAGAAAAAAGGACTTGACTTGATGTCAAACAACCTCTCCAGAGTGTAAATTCCTATGCCCCCATTTACCAGCTATATTATATTTGGCCAGTTATTCCAGCTCAGCATCAGTTTATTCATCTCTAAAATGTAGATAAAAATAATGTCTAAATCTTAGAATTGTGGTAAACACTCTATAAGATGATGGATGTAATCCAAGAAAAACCCATTAATAGGAGTAGCAGAAGTGCTCCTGACACCAGAGGTAGTATGATTTGAGCCTAGCTAATCACAGCTACCTGGCAGCAGTCCACCTTAGAAGGTAGACTTTCGATTCAGAACCTGGAGACACGTATCATCAATCCCTCCATATTTCTGACATTTCTTGGTTTTATGATGCTTACCACATTGCTTTGAGGAAATCTATAGGAAAATACAAGTCATTAGGAATTAAGATGAGCCTGGAGCACATGGGTGGCTCAGTTGTTAAGTGTCTGCCTTCAGCTCAGGTCATGATCCGGGGGTCCTGGAATCGACCCCCGCGTTGGGCTCCCTGCTCTGAGGGAAGCCTGCTTCTCCCTCTCCCCCTCCCCCTGCTTGTGTTCCCTCTCTCGTTGTCTCTCTCCCTCTGTCAAAATATGAATAAAATCTGTAAAAAAAAAAAAAAAAAAGGAAAAAGAAGGTTCAGCATATTAAACAACAACTACTACTACTAGTACTCTCTCTTCTTCTTAGACTCCGGCCGGAAGACTGTGAAAAGCCATTTTTTCAGAGACAGGGCCTTTTGGTGGGGCTCCCGCACTTGCCAGCTCACCCAGTGCACAGCCCCACCTTCCGCAAAGCCAGGACAGCTCTTTGGAGTTTCCCTCATGGATATCTGTGATAAAGACAACCTGCCCTTTCCAATTCTGGTAGGTCATCTCCTTTTGGTCTTCTATAGCCCTCCTGAGGAGCGGAAACTGAAAGGCCAAGCGTCCTCATCCAAATCTATCCCCAAATGGAGAAGTCATTACATAGTCCCTGGCTTTGGCAGAGAAGCTCTGTTACTGTTATTTCAAAGAACAGAATCTGATTTAGGTCCAGCAGACTCATGAGGCAAATACAAAAGGAAAAGACATTCTTGTCCATTCCACTTCTGTCTTCTTTCCACAAAGACCCATGGAGGCCTGTTCAGATCAGTCAAAATGGACTCTGTGTATGTGAGTCTCTGAGAGTCCACCTCATCTTCACACTCTCCCTTCATTGCCTTCCTGCTCACATGAGTCTCAAGTCTCCTTCAGCAGAGTCTACTCAGTCTAACAACTGCAAACATCTGACACGAGCATAGACTCATCCTCTGGCAAATAGGAATCTGTTAATCCTAACAGAGTATGGCAAATGAAAGCCACAGAGTTTGGCCCGTGTTATCTCAAACTGCTGTAGTGAATTGTCAGTGTGTACATTCACTGAGTATTCGGTATCTCTGCAAGCACTGTACGGTATGTAGGGAACGTTCTGCTAGCTATGAAGAAATATATCACCTTAGCTAGCATGTTACCTGCTAGCTACTACCCCAGGTCCATGCATCACGGCAAATTTAGGGGCTACCTAGGATTATCATCCTCCGCACTGCCTAAACGAATCAGAAAAGCCTCAGTACAGGATGTATGTGCCCCAGCTCACACAATAGATAAGTAGCATAATAGACTTCAGATCTGTTGGATTCCCTGAGTCCAGCCCTTATTATGTTTCTACACAGCAGGGAGTGGACATGAAGATAGAGCAAAAGACAATTTAAGACTCATGAGAAGGGAGGGTAATCAGAGAAGGACAAGAGAGTTTCTGAGCCTGACTTTAAAAGAGGGAAGGAAATAGAACAAGTAGGAAAGGAGTATAGAGTCACTTAAAGAGAAATAAACAAATGGGAAATGAGTATTTCCTAAATAGACTTCCATACTTGGGGAAGAGCTTCTATGTAGGGAATAATTAGAAAAAAATGCTAAAGTAGGAAACAGATGGTGA